GACCGACTACGGCATGATTCGAATGTGTGCGTTCAAAGAACAATGGATTTACAAGCCAAATTTGTAGCTACTAGATTGAGAAAAAATCTTCCTTCGTCCCATGCTCAGAGTGAACAGGAACCGACTTTGATGCAGCTGCTTGGGCCACTTGGCAATGGTTTGATGATGACTCTACATAGAAGCAAAAAAGGTTGATCGACTACGAATCATGCTTGGGCCACTTGGCAATGGTTTGATGATGACTCTACATCCAAGCAAAAAAGGTTCAAGCGCTGTTTAAAAGGTCTGGCTGTCGCTACACTTGGTTTTTTTCTTCAAATTGAGCCAACATGGTGGGGAAATGACAAATCTTCGCCTATTTGACACAAATTCACTCAAATAAAGGCATAGAATTGTCATTTGTTGCCCTACCACGGCCAGACCTTAAACGTCCAAACATCCATTTCGAACCAAGGTGAAAAGAGCAACAGATGGCTGGCTAGCTAGCTAGAGTAGCTACTAGCTGTTATTGTAGCTCCCAAGCAAATGTGTTGTTGAGTCCAGCGAGTCGAGCGACGAGTCGAGTCCATGACCCCCAGGTCCCGTACACTGTGTAGGATCCAGCTTTTTTCTGGTACTCAGAAATCTTCTACGTGCATCTTGCGTGCGTCTGGTAGGAATTCTGACCACCAGAAAACAACGGCCGCTGACACAACCCAACCAACCAAACGAAACAACAAAGCATCGACCATGACATGACAGAGGAAATGGCATCAGTTCTCTATTATCATGTTACCCCAGAGGTGCTGAGGACCTGGGTATCCCTTCTATACCCAATTACTGACAAACGCCCTGAAAAAGATTGAATGTGTTAGCAGTGAAATGAAGAGAACAAAGCAGTTGAAGCAGCAGAATGAGGGTGTTGTCGCCCACCAAAAAAGAGGATTTTCTGCTGTTGTGGAAGATGCCTTGGCTCCTCCCCTAAAGAGATTGGATAGATAATTCGTTTGGGTACCAACAGAAGGATTTCTCTAGTCCTTGAGGTTGTCAAATGGAGCAGAAGACATCTTTTGAAAGCCCTTTTGGGTGGTCTCAAGAGCATTCTTTCTTGACTGCTCATCCCAATTCTCTTCTATACTAGTGGTCTTGAAACTTTCATACTCGAGAGACTTGAGCTTGTTCTTCCTTTGGGTGTAATTCAATGCCTTGATTGCCTCCGCCTCTGCATTGTCTCCAAGTCGATGGAGTACTTCAGTGAGGACGTCGTTCGTGTGCAACTTGGCAACCATACGTGAGTATTGAATGAGGCCCTGCATGGACACAGTTGTGTCAACACCCGTATTTCTTTGCCGCTCATTCTCCTTCCTGTTGGTTCCACTCTTCTGTGCCACATCATCTGTCAGCTTCTCAATTCGATCATGCCTGAAGTGTTCTTTCTTCATTGAAACTTCGAGTGCTTGCATGGTCTGCTTGTATTCCTTGGGAAGAAGTGCATCGTGTGCAATTTGGCAGCAATGGTCTTCAGCAGATTTGAGAAGCAATCGAGTTTTCTAAGTGGCTCCCATAGTACCAAGCTTGCCAATGGAATAGACATTTGCATCAATGTTGATAGCATATGCACTTCGAAGTGTCTCAGCCCTGTCAGTTGATGAGACGTTCTTTGCTAGTTTCACTCCTGCTTCGACAAACTGAGTGTGGGAGGCCAAAGGTAGATAAGACGTTAGTAGGTATTGCTTGAAAGCATTCTCCATGTTCTCCTCATCTCTGTAGTCAAGACCACTTAGACGCAATTCGGCTGTATGGATAGCCAATGGATGGAACACCGGCTCATGGTATGTGGTCACCTTCTTCTTGTCTTTTGTGAAGTTTGCCATCGAAACTTCCTTCTTCAAAAAAGAAAAGAACTTGGCCAAAGGAAACGTCCGTCCGTGGACATCAGACTGGAAGAGTGTTAGGTCCATTGTCGGTGTTCCTTCCTTCTTCAGCGAGCGGTTCCTCACATAGAAGTCCTGCCGGTAGAAGATTCTGTGAGCATGTACGGTTGAAGTGTTTCTTTGCCATCTTCCATTCCATGGCAATAAA